GGGGGGGGGAAGCAAAAAGACGTGGATGGGGGATGATTAATCAAGTTTTTTTCCCATTCGTGTTGGGATGAATTGGGAATTGTTATTTTTTTTTCTGGGGTGATAGGGAATGAGAAACTCGATTGTGTTGCGATTCTAAATATACAAACTAACGCAACACTTTAGCATTTTCAACTTTCATGTTTTACAACCCCTCGGGGGAAGGAGAGGGAAAAAAAGGAAAAAGGCATCGAGATCCCTAAATCCCCCATCCCATTCTCATTTTGCTTTTACTACTATCCCCCATTCCCCATTTCCATTTTCATTTCCATTTTCTAGTAGCTTACCAACTTCTTCCTGGCTTTTTCCTTGATTTCCTCCTCAGCCCTGCGATTGACCCAAAAATACGCAGCAAGGGAGATGAAAGAACCGAAACCAGCTGCCATGATCATTCTACCGCGGAAGCCCTGTTTCCTCTTTAACGCTTCGTCACCGCCGAGGATTATAACAGCCTTCTTGGACCACGTATACTCTAAGCCGCTGTAGATAGTTGTTGAAGCGACAATGGCAGACACGCCTTGGACCAGCGTCTTGACGCCTTGCTCACCGCCCAAAACGTCCTGGATCGACAAGAGCAAGCCACCCGCTGCGGAGGAAGTGGCCGAGGGGTCGTGCAGCAAGTTTGTGCAAAGCAACGTGCCGAGCAAGCTTAGCTGGAGGAACGTGTTGAACTTGGAGACGGTGGTGGGGTGGACCTCTGCGCTCGGGAGGCTGAAGTCCCAGTAGCGCGCCATGGTCTTGGGTGCTGGCAGGCTGGCATAGCGGTAGTAGAGCGCCGAGATGGCGAGGCTGACGTCTCTTCCGAGGATGAGGCAGGCTAGTGGCATGGGTAGACTTCCGTTTACGGCCAGACAGGTTACCAATGTTGTCATGAGGAATTTGTCGGCCATGGGGTCGACTACGCTGCCGACTACCGTTTGCAAGTTCCAGCGGCGGGCGATCCAGCCGTCGAGAAGATCGGAAAAGGCGGCGTAGACAAAGAGGGAGAAAGCATAGAGATGCTGGTCATGAATGATGAGGTAACCGACTGCAGGAGTTGCTATGAGGCGGGAGAAAGTAAGCATGTTGGGTAGATTGTAGATTTGTTCATGTCGAGGCTTGTCGAGTTTGAGCGTAGATTTGATGGTCGATGCGAGTTTGGTGGATGCCGTAATAGATGGAACATGTCGCTATTTCTTGTTAGTATTGATGTTCTCTTTATAGATTTGAAGTGCTGGGTGTGCAGTTTGATGTAGGTTGAGATGGTAGATTAAATGACTTGGACAGGATACAAAGATTATAATAAAAGGTATGTGAAATTTATGTAATGGCCAGTGATGTAGAAAGCAACCAAGGAGACTACTGCTTCGAATTGGAGAGAATGTTACAGGCCAAAAAGTCCTTGTTGATAGAATCATGTGACTCTCGACCCTTGAAGTATCGTGACAACCATCAGAAGTGATGATGTCAGGACGCACACAAACCTACCTCTGCATTATTCCGAGAAGCTGACGGGCCCTTTGCCTTGTCCTCGATACCCAGTCTTCGCGTTGTCGATGTGCTAAACAGACCAACATGCCTCTGACCACACTGCCCGTAGGCCGGGCCTCTCACCACTCTGCGGTGCTGGTATTTTTTTACGTCGTTGTGAGTCCAGGTTCCAGAAGCACGTGAGGCAGCCAGGTACAAAGAGGGCCGACCATGTGCGGGCCGGAAAATACTTCCTAGGCCAATTGCGGTGCGTAGGAGAGCTGCAGGGATGTGGCAAGGCGATATGGCCCTCGCCGTAGATAGGGGGATCATGGATGCGGAAGCATTCGCGGGTTCGTGGTCGCTTCAAAGAGCTTCAGCACGAGGCTTCGTTGCTACTGTGGGAGCCATGCCAAGATGCGCTAGTGGCCGCATGCAGGACGCTGTTGAACGGACTACATAATACTGCATGTAGGTATGTACGTGCCTACCTTTTCGGAAGCGTCTCCACACTGAGGTATTTGATAGCGATATACATACTCATCGGAGTAAATCAAAGCCATGCGTTGGCGATGATTACAACTATTAGGGCTTGGACCGGGAATCAACCCAATGCCTGCGGTTTTCTCCTTGGCCTTGCAGGTTGCTCAGCAGTAGACAAGATTCCCCATGGTGTATCCAGGCCGCCAGCAAGATGAACTCAATTATATGCACTAGACACAAGATTATGTAGCCGGAGTTTGGACTTAAGAGAGCTGAACAGCCGCCACCGTTGAAATGGTCCACGGTACAGCCTCGATTCGGCCCATCAGTGTCACACCGGTCAACGTACTGAACCTAGTCATTTACAAGTCACATATAGGTGGTTCTTGCATGCACTCGTCGGCTTGCCACCGGTAGCAATAGTTGGCAGATTAGGGTTAAGCAAATCGTTGTATTGGTGAACGGGGAATTGCACCTAGTCGCACTACGGCCGCACTGCGGTCACCTTGGTGCAGACGATAGCAGCCACAAATCCAAGGCCTTGTACACGGGGAAGAGCGTGTGCTCGATACGACGCCAGCCCACTTGCGCAGGGTCCAGACTGGGGGGGGGGATGAGGGAATCACAACGACAAGGGTCGATCAGGTGCGTAGGATCGGGATGGACCTGGACCCCTATGCAGATGTCTCCAATTTCACAATCTGGGGACGGGTGGTTGTTGCTTGATTGGGGCGATGAGCAAACCCATGATTGCACAATTGTCACTGCTGACGACGAATTTCGGAGAGTTTCATGACAGTTTGTTCACTGTGATTGCTCTCTTGAGTTCTTTCCGGATGGCCTTTCCGACAATCAACATTTTCGCGGTCATGTTCGGCGGTTTGCCCGCTTCTATAGCTGCGAGTGCCTGTCCTTATTGTTCCACGGTGGGGCGGCTCTTTCATTGCCCCTGAGTTGAGAGTATTGAAAGCTTGAATCATTGTTCGAGGGACTCACTCACCGGCAATATGCCCTATTCCTCGATTAAAGCCATTTGGCCGCAAGTGTCGCAAGAACCGGATCTACTGATCCTCGCGGGCTATACCGAGCAACCAAATGCACCACCGACTCACGTCCGAAAATCCACGGTGGTCCGTATTTGGAATGCCACATGATCGCGATCCGCGAAATTTGGAAGACCGTGTTGACCCGTCCAGAGAGTGTCTCGACCACGTAGCACCGGTGGTATTCAGAGACAGAGAGTCAGCCTCGCGGTCTACCATTGTTCCCGACCGAAGCTGAAACAGATGTACCGTTGCCTCTGGTCGGTCAGCTTGTAAGCTGAGTGTTGTTCCCCAAGGCTGATGGAACACGATGCACTGACACGATGCCCTTTTTTCGCGGGCCGCCTTTGGCTACGAGTAGTTGCAGTCGCTTAGCATTAGAATTAGGGTTTTGGTCGTCCATGTGTCATGATTTCCGCATAAAGAAGGGACTAACGACGAGTTGGTCACTTGGCTTGGTTTAGTCGACCATTGAGTCCACTAAGGAACTTTAAAAGTCACCAGCATGATGTTGTCGGCATCGATGGCGCAATTACAATGCGTTAGATCAAACTCAGCAGCTGAACGGACGTGGAAACGTTCCAGAAGAAGAAGGGTTGTTACTGGAGCGGGCAAGACTCGCGATCTGGACAGGCGAGCGCGAGCGTGCTCGCTTGAGCAATGGCTATGCAAGACATGTAGTGTTTGGACGTCGGCCGAAGCATCAACACGAAAAAGGAACGCCCCGGATTTCTCGAAGATGATCTTCAAGATCAGCCCGGGAGTGTACCCGTCGGGTAGTCTTGTGATGGGAAAATGCAACAACGATTACGTTGCTTTGATGGACCAGACCTCTTGTCCAAGTGGGTGATGGAGATGAAACTGGCGGCAGTCTGATACAGACCCTCAATATCTGATACACGGATGGCAGATCGACGACGAAAACGACTACCAAGAGGGCGCAAACGACGCAGCATCGGCTACAGGGTCTCTGCTGGCAGTGCGCATGTGGATGTATGAATAATGGCAATGCTCGTCACGCCTGCCGTAAACCGGTGGCGGGCAAAGATCAACGGCGATGGGGGGTTGATGGGGGTGATGGGTGGGCTGCAGTTTGTCGTATTTACCTCCCCCCTCCGTATTCGTGCGAACTGGTCGGGGGGAGGCATGGGGCGCGCCCACGTTCGCGTTCACGTTGACATGCAGAGGCAGGGACAGAAAAGGGGAATTGCGAATGCAGATTGTGGCTGGCAAACGGCTAGAGGTGCCAGCCTCGTGGGCTGCTTTGGGTTTGTGAACCCAGTCGCCCAACGATGGCGGTTGACCCCAAGGCTAACGTCTGGCCGAAAGCGGATAGACTTGATATAGCGTTTGGTGTGCACAGAAGAACGTGAATCATGGCATCTAGGCCTCTTGCGGTGGTTGAGAGAGAACCCGAATGGTGGCAGTGGAGCATACGTTGGGCCACGTGCGTCCGAGTGGTTGGCGGACTATATCAAGAAACATTAAGGTCATGGGGCGACGTTGCCATCATGTCATTTTGCAAGAGGGAGGTGTTAGCGAGGCCAGCCCGCCCGCTTTTGAGCGGCAGCTCGTCACCCGTTTCGGCAGTCGGCCTAAGGGCCAATAGGTTTCAGAAATGCAACCTCGAGGACCGCTAACGCAGGTACAAATCTCACACCAGCCGAAATGGCTGGTTGCTCCGACAAGTGTATCATGACTAGCTGAGAAAAAGATGGAAGGGCGGGAAATTGTTTTCGGCAGCGGCACTGCAAGTCCCACTGGCGGGCGCAAGCGTGTGCGGAAACGTGCGCCCATGTTTACTTACTACCCAAAGCCAATATTGAATGGACGGGCGTGTGATATAGGGAGCCGGCCATGTGTCGGAGAGGGGGTGAGAAACAAGGCGAGGTGATGATGGCGGTCAAGAAGCATGGACGCTGTCTGGCGTGATTGCGAATGTGTGCAAGATTGGGTGGCGGCGAGTTATTAGCATCCCAGCAAGTAGTTGGTGACGGGTGAATTGGAGGAGAGAGAGACGTCTAGGTCTAGGTGTGTACAGTACACCTATGAGCGGACACGGGCGGAAGGCGGACGCACAGCAGCAGAGTTACTAGTTGCGTAGCAGAATTCCCCACCGTTTTCTTGGGGGGGGGCGAAGGGCGAGTGGAGGGTAGGGGAAGGCAGGGTAAGCCAGAGTAAGAGGGCAGCGGGCTGGCATGAGATGGGAACGGTCAGCCAGTGACATCAGGGCGTAGTGATTGCATGAATATCGAGAGCAACGGGCATCCATGTTGTCCCAAAGCGGGCAGCGCTTGCACACAGCAGGGCATGCGGCCGAGGCGGGCAAAGACGAGCAAAGGCGAGCGACTAGTTCCCCGACCAATCGCATGCGCCGACGGCTCATGTCGGCTAGCCCAAAAGAAATCCTGAAACCGCTCCCACACCCGACTGGCGAGCGGGCAAAGCGTCACGCCGAGCAGCGAGCTTGCATGCTGTGGCAGACGGCGTGCCGGGCTTGTATGGACGACAAGAGCCCACGTCCATCGAGGCAGCGAGGCAATCTGATCAATTGAGTGCATGGACGGGGGATGATGGGGATAGGGATAGGCATGGGGATGGGGACAGGTGGAGGGCAGAGCATTTGGACAGGGCAACGTGGGCATCAAGAGATTTGCAAAAAAGGCCATGGGCGCTCCCGCGCAGCAGGCTCAGGGCGCTGTTTCAGATGAAGATCAAACCACGGCCGCAGGGTTGATTTGTGGTGTTGGTGTGCATCTGGCTGTGTGTGGTGTAGTGTAGTTGGGGTGGGTGCGGATGTAGGTACGAGAGGGACAGGAAAGCGGCCGTGGATCGAGATAGTGGTGAGCAGAGAGGAGTTGCAGCGAGGCTGGGTAGCGTACTCTTGCTGCGACTGGCCGTGACGCACAGACGAGGGCGATTGAGCAAGAGTGCAGGTGTGATGTACCTGCAGCAGTAGTACGCAGTTGGAGTGGGCGGTCCAAGCAGGCTGGCACATGCCGAGAATGGGGAAAGGGAGGGCGCGTGTTTGGTACATGCAGATCAGAGGGCTAGCTTGCAGCAAAGCGGACTAGTAGGTAGAGCGAGGGAAAGTAGTGTGTGTAGCGGGCAGTGGGAGAGTGAATACGAGTGTATGAGTAGTGTAGTGGTGGTGGTACAGGATAGTCGCAACGAGCGGCATAGGGCGAGTGTGCCGGCCACGGCAAGGAGCGGCAAGAAGAAAAATAATCGTGTCGCAGGAAGCAAGGCAAGGCGAGAGAGCAAGGTGGGATGGGACGAGCGGTTATGCAAAGAAAAGGGAGTGGGGTGGTGGGTGATGAAATGGATGGATGGATGGGTGAGACCCGCTGATAGCAGAGGAAATACTAGTAGTGTGTAGGTATGTGAGTGAGTGAGTGAGTGAGTGTGTGTGACATTGTAGTATAGGAAGGCGGCATCCGAGAAACGGCAGGGGGGGTTCTTTCCTGTATTGGGTGTAGGTGAGTAGGTATGTACGTTCATGTACGTACATACGTAGTAGCATGTGGCCGGGTGGGTGTTGATGATCACAGGACTGGTAGGACTGACGCAAGACAGGAAGCCAGTAGACCCAGCAGGTCCAAGCAGGCCCAAGCAGGACCCCACCCGGTGCATCCATGATCCATCGAGCAAGTAGTAGGTAAGTAGGTAGGAGTAGGCATAGGCCGACCCATGGGAGGCCGTGGCATGCATGCAAAGGGAATGGCATGGCCTCGCACAGCGGCCCATGGGCATGCGAGGGCATCGGCGGGCCAGGCCAGGGCGCACATGCCTCCCGGCCCACGAGTCGCCATGATCCCTGTTCGCCAAGGAGGGCGTGAGCGGGGCCCTCGGAGCCCCAATTGGCCGCGCTACGCGCACAGGCCGCCCTGCTGGCTGGCGTGCGGAAATAGATCAATGTGAGACGACTAGGCTCCTGTTTCACTCGCCCTCCGACACCTAAAGCTGCCGCTGCCCCCTCAGATTTGCGTTTCGCATCCCCCTCCCAACGCCGTCCCTTCGTGGTCATCCTCGAGACTGCTATCTGAGGCAGGTTCCTCACGTTTTTATTATCCGCCTCACGTTCACGCGTTTTATTGTCTACTCCTTTTAAACATAGCCTGACACTCTTTCGTTTTCAACTCCTGGCAGGTCCTCGACGACCCATTCCACGTGCTGCTCCTCCCGCACAAGCCCTCTGACGTTGGCTCCCTCAAACCACTCAACACAAGACCCAAAGGTGTTGCAGCCCGCCATGTATCCATCCGCCCACCATGCCCAGATGCCGCCGCCCCAGGCACGCTCCGTCGCACCCGAGACCTTCTTACTCGATCAGGACGCCCAACAGAGCCTGCCCCCAGACTCTGTCGTTGCCCTGCAGCAGGTCGACAACCGTATGTGTACCCACTGCATCTCTCCCCCCGCCTGCGCGCGCGCCCATCACAAACTGACACGCCACCTGCACCACAGTCAAGTACTTTCTCATTTCCGCTCCTGTAGACTGGCAACCCGACCAGTACATTCGCCGCTTCCTGCTCCCCACCGGCGAGTACGTCTCGTGCGTTCTCTGGTAAGTCTGCCGCCACCTACATTTGCACCTGCACCCCGCATCTTCTAACCCCGCCGCGCTCTGCAGGAACAACCTCTTTCACATTTCCGGTACCGACATTGTAAGATGTCTATCATTCAGATTCCAGGCTTTTGGCCGCCCCGTCAAGAACTCGAAAAAGTTCGAAGAGGGCATCTTCTCAGATCTGCGCAACCTCAAGTCCGGCACAGACGCCTCCCTTGAGGAGCCAAAGAGCGCATTCCTCGACTTTCTGTACAAGAACAACTGCATCCGCACCCAAAAGAAGCAAAAGGTCTTTTACTGGTACAGCGTGCCACATGACCGCCTCTTCCTCGATGCGCTTGAGCGCGACCTGAAGCGCGAGAAGATGGGCCAAGAGGCCACCACCATGGCCGTCAGCGAGCCCGCCCTTTCCTTTGAGTTTGATTCATCACAATCGCTTTTCGAGCAGCTCACCAAGGCCCAACAAACAAACTCTTCTTCTTTCAACAACAACGTTCAGCCCTCCTACCCCACCACATCGCCCGACATGCGCAGCATGGAATCCATGCCCCCACCAACAATGGTGCCCGTCCAGCAGTCGATGCCCTCGATGCAGCAGCCAATGCACGCCGAGGACCCAATGGCGCATTACCACCAGCAAATGTCAATGCCTCCTTCAATGCCAAACAACATTGTAAAGAGCAGAGAGCAACGCGAGATGAGCCAGTCTTTCCAGTACGACCGCAACGGCATTCCTCTGTCGCAGATTCACCAACGGCACAGCTCCATGCCTGCATACATGGAGTACTCGCCCGCGCCTTCATTTGTCTCTTCTCACTACGAGGACTACAGCACTCGCGGCATGTCCTTTGAGCCATTGACTCCTCCTCAACACCAGATTGGCCTTGGTGCCGAGCCCGCATATATTGCGAACGAGGACACTGGTCTCTACAGTGCCATCCCAGACCTTCCAGCTCCCAACACCTTCAACCCGCTGATGAACCTTCCCCCATCGAATTTGATAGGCCCTGGTTATCCCGGTGTTTCAAGGCCGTTTGCTCCTGGCAACGTCTACTCAGTCATTGAGGGCTCGCCTACCTACAAGCAACGGAGGAGGCGCTCTTCCCTGTCTGCCGGCATTGCTGCTGCCGTCACTGCTTCCGGTGCCGGTGCCCACCAAGTCCACCGCCCCAGTGACTTGAGGCGGTCAATGTCAAGCTCAGTTGTTCCCCTAGCTGAGGTCGACGAGAGCACACACAACTCGCCCAACAGTGCAAACGGCGCGAGCTATGCTCCTCCTCAGATGCCAGAGTCCAAGCCAGCCTTTGACATGTCTCGTCAAGGAACCCCACTCAACACTGTCGAGGAGGACACTGAGCCCCAGTCAGCTCCTCTACAGCACGACGACCTCAACAACCTGGTCAACGGCGAGCTGTTTGAGAGCCCTCTGCAGCACAGCGCCATCGCTCGTACCGCTGGCGCTGGCGGCCCCATCTACAGGCGCGCCCGAAGTGCCACCATGATGGAGATTGGTCCATATCCACAAAAGTCGCACTCGTGCCCGATCCCCACATGTGGCCGTCTCTTCAAGAGATTAGAACACCTCAAGAGGTAAGCGCGCGCAATTTCCTGTTTTCTCTCCCTCGTGTTTCACCACGTTGTTCCTTGCCCCACTATTTTTGTTGTTTTGCATAGACGCTGACCCTCGGCGCTTAGGCACGTGCGTACCCACACTCAAGAACGACCATACGTTTGCCCGTTGTGCAACAAGGCTTTCTCACGCTCAGACAACCTTGCCCAGTACGTTATCTCCTCGCTAGCAAACACCCAATCAAACAAGTAAAAAGGCTAATTTAGTTAATTAGACATCGTCGCACACACGAGCCCCGCGCTGACGGCGAGCCGCTGAGCGATTACCAGGACGAAGACCTGGAAGGCGAGGATGACCACCTTCAGTCGCTCGAGGACGATCTGTCGCCTGAATCTGGCAACGACTACCTCTCTGGCCTGTCTCACTCAATCAACGACATTCCTGGTCCCGGCCTCGGCATGACCATGGCGCCGCCACAACATGGCTTGATGGCGGGCAGCCACTACTGAGTAGGCACCGTTTCCGCCATCACCACCAACAGACAGACCCCTCACGACGTTACACACGTGAAATGAGCATCTCGGCGTAGTCAAGGCGCAGCGATCTAGAAGGATACCTCTTTGTTTGTATTTTTGTTTTTTCTGTTCACATCTTCTCTTCCGACTTTGTGTTTTAATCTGCTAGACCGAAGTCTGTCTTGTGTTGGGGCATAAAGTGCTGCATTGCATCCCATCCTGTTTTCTCTTTTTCTATCTCTCTTCCAGCCGTTTGAGCAAACGGACGGTCTTTGTCACCGGATATTGGCTTGTTTAGGCTTGGTCATGACAACTACGAACATGAGTACCCTTTTTTCTTCTCTTCTGCTTTTCAAAGTCTCATTGTTTTATCCACGTCTTTGTTGATTCTTCCTGTTATTTTACACATCTTCCTTTCTTCGATCTTTCTCTGCCTGTCGCATCCAAATCCTGCCAGAGCGCTCTTTCTCTTTTCTTGTTGGTTGTGGGAAAAACATATCCTAGCTGTTTGGCGGCATTGTTTTGCTTGCAAAAGTCATGGGGGTGTTTTTTTGGGGGGAAAGGGAAAGCCATTTAGCTTGTTGTCGTTGTTGCAAAGACACATTATACACACATTTACACTTCACACGTTGTTTCTTTCTCCATGGAAATATGTCGTGTTACATTCCTGTGTGCGTTGTATCGACGCTTAATACTTGGAGTCATTTTACACTCTTACTCAAATGCATAGACCAAAAAAATTCAGAAATTTGTTCATTACCTTCCGTTGCTCCTTGTCTGTTTCCTTTGACTGTGTGGTTTGCGTGAATTTCCCTAGTTTGATGAGCACCTCATTTTGTTCGCGCGGGGGTGGGAGGGGGGGGGAAGGTCTTGGGGGAAAGAGTCAAATCTCCTTGTATCCTTACTTCCTTCCTTCCTTCGTCCGTCATTGTCTTATCACCCACGTGGATTTTATTTCTTTTCATTTATCCCTTCAAATCTTGGTTATCTTTGATGCTGCATTCGATATAGCTGCTTGGACGGCACGCGCGGTGTTACCCCGCTCATCTTCCATCTCTCTCTCTCATGTAGCCCGTTATGTTCAAAAGCCGAAGAGAAGGGGGGGTTTAAACCACGATGACTCGATTTGTGGAAAGGCTGTGTGCAAAAGTCACCATTTTTTTCCAAAATCGTCTCTCCCCCTTTCTACTACACAGTATCTACACACACACGAGATTTCTGTGGAATCTAGATTCTACCTTCCTTCCTTCCTCTTCTAGCCTCATACCCCGCTCTCTCTCTACTCTCTACTCTGTACTCTCTCAGCTACTTACCTCCCCAGCCAAGATTACCGCAACCCACCCCTCGGAGCCCGGCCAGCGCCGCCCACCCACCCTTGTGTTTCACAATCCCGTTACATCTCACCGGCTCTGCACCGCAACAGTTTACCTTTCTTGCTTGCTTTTTTTCATATCCCCCCCTCATACACCCCGGTCTCTGGCCACGTTTTTTTGCCTTTTCGGCTGGGGTGGTGGGGGGAGGCTTGGGAAAGCCCGTGGGTGCGCGGGCGTTGAGCCGGTTGTGCCGATGAACCCGCAAGTGCCGTGTGTTTGAGATTTTTATGTGCGAGCGGGTGGGTTTTTTTTCTTGGGGGGAGGGGGGAAAGGTGTTTGATCGGCCTTTGATGATGTCTGTGTGTACTTGCGCATACGGGGGGGGGTGGGGCAGGTAAGTAAGTATGTTTGCCCGTTCATTGTTTTACTACTATGTATCTCCCCGTACGAATGAACGTGCTTGTGCAGTGTGGGTTGGATTTCAAAGTGTTCGTGTCAAACACTTTGCTTCACGTTGTATTTTGGCAAAAGAGGAGAAACGATAAAGCTTGCTGGCGGTTTTCTCCGTTGCACAAAAGTCGTCGTCATCGTCATTATTGTTTGGTTGCGACTTCTGCTCGCCCTTTGATTACCATATGCTGACACACACGCCTTTTTTCGTGTTTTTAAAATTGAGCCTGACTTTGCTTTTGTGGACTGGCTTGCTTTTGGGGCTGCTCGTTATTTTACTTTACACTTTTGAGCTATGCGTTTGGTTGCGCAATTGTGCGCCCTTCGGGGGTGCAGGCGGGCTTATCTTACATGAGATGATAGTGGCTTTTGGGGGGCCTTGTGGGGAGGGGAGTCTAGAATGTTGGAGTAGGTTTTTTTTTTCTCGCCGACGGTGACATGCCCGTGCTTGAAGATTTATTGTGCACGCGGTTCGGAGGGGGCCTTGGTGTGGAGACGAGACTGCAGATTGGAGAGGGGGGTTGCTGGTCACGTACAGGAACAGCACAGGTTTACGAGGTTGGGTTGTTTCAGGTATATTTGGGGCGTTTGCTTCATCGCCATGGCTCCGGTTAGAGCGGGGGCCGGGGTGCGGGTGTGCCTGGTGCCGAGCTCGCGATAAACGGACGGGAGGTTGAGCGCCGCGCGCGCGTGCGACTGCGGGAAAAGGAAGGTCGTATGCAAAAAGGATAAGGGATGCAGGGAAGGTCAAAGAAGGAATACTGAAAGGGATAGCTGCTTGCATTGCGCCGTCAGATCGGGATTGTGCCTTTCGATCGCGATTGAATGTTGGATGGGATCGCGATCGAGATGGGTGATGGTAGCATTTAATGTATTCTTTTATGAGGTTTTCTTTTCGTCTTCTTGTTCTAATTTTACGTTCGCGCGCTCTGCTGTACGTTTGTTTGTTTGTTCGCTGCTTGTTCCTTCGCTTGTTCGTGGATGAGGGTGTGTATACTTGAATGTGCTGTTTGGCTTCTCTAGACTTTTGACCATAGAAAAAGTCAAGGGTTGCTTGCCATATTGAAATTCGTATGGACTTATTGTTCGGTCGATCAAACTACAGTGTGAACTCATAATCGAGGATAGAGAAGTGATACAGAAGCGAGCTTCAGGGAGTGCCCCGGGAGGGTGTAGATCGTATGTTTGGTCATTTCATTGGTAATGCTATCATAAGCTTATGTAAAAGATTAACTTTTCAGCAAAAGATTTCCTAGTCTACAATCCCTGAGAAGACGTTTATGATGACGGTTGGAAAAGTGAGCGCTTATTCGCATCGCCTTTATACGAGCCCGCGTATACAATTACACGTTTACCATATTCCATATTCGTAATACTGAGAGTTCACATTGCTTATTCAACAAAATCTACCTGGGATATGTAAGGATCATGTATATGCTAGTTCCTTTGTCATTAAAGCTACATAACTCATACACGACTACCAGCACCTCACTGGCATGCCATGCAGTGACTGCGGTCGGACGTATCATTATTCTTTCAAGCCAAATGGCGTGTAACTATATACCAAGAGTGCTTTATAGATAGGGTGTATCAATGCTTGGTTTTCGTAAATCGAATGGTTGAGAGGATGGCCGTAACCTCCGTAAACCACAGTTCTCTGTTCTGGCTGCTATGGAACAACAAACTGAGCTGAACATCTGATTTCAATCAGTAACATAGCATCCAAGTCCTCTCTAATCAACAGCATATCACTCCTCTCTGATATTAATGCATTCGCCCTTTCCGCTCTCCCAAAATGACACTGTCCTCTTAGCGATTGTTCCAGGATTCAGTACTTTGTTCTCAGGAGCTACAGTTCCTTCGACATGAATCAAGCCAAAATGAATACCACTGTCACCGAAGTAGCGACGGAAGCTATCCACCATGTTCTTCTGCGCAGCCTTGACCAGACTCAGTGAAAGAAGCTGCGGAATGGGATCCCAGGGCAGATGGCTGCTTGTGACAAAAAGAGCAGGCTTGAGAGAGGTATTAGATTTGGCGAGGGCCTGGAGCTTGGGAATGTAATGTTGTGAAATTACGTAGAGAGATAGATTGGTTGTCTGTGGCGGTGGTCAGTGGATACTACGTGATACGTCATGTGAATGAGCATGTAGGAGAAGGAGATCCTACCTTGAAGTCCTCCTCGATTTCTTCAACACCCACGCCCAGGACTTCGCCTGGCTTGATGCGCGCCGCGTTGAAGAAGATGACTTCAACATCCTCACCCTCGGTCAGGCTATCAAGCTCCTTGAGTACCCCAGGAATCGATTCGAGATCTGCAAGATCGATACGTAGAGTATCAACTTTGACCGAAGAGTTGCCTTTCAAAACAAAAGGCGCATCCTCATTCTGTAGTCGTTCTGTGTTACGGGAGAGGAGAATGACATGGTTGATGCCCTTGGAAGCGAATTCCGCAGCCACATTGTTACCGATGCCAGGACCAGCTCCGAATACGATAAGTGTACGTGCCATGACGGAAATGTTATACAAGTTCAAAGTGTGCTGCTTCAAGTAATGATAATAGCGAGCACGTCTGACAATGCTACGGCTTTATACCAGCAGCCTTCCAAGCAATCCCGAGGCTATACACCTGTGATCTGACAAAACATCGCTAGTTCCGAATGACTTCATTACTACTGGATGGCTATTGGCTGGTTGTATGCAAACGATCGATAGACAAGGCGTACTGGACTGGGTCGCCTCATGCAGTAAGATCCCTAGAACTGATCCTGTATCTCAAGAGCTTTGTCGGCAGTTCTACATCCTCTTCAATTGCGTGCTACTGTGAATATGTGACACAAGTTATATGCTACGATGTTTCTAAGTCTCATGCAAAGAGTTGATGTAACGTCGATATGAGGCATGTTTCCAAACCGGGTGGTTGTTGGACCCACAATCACCCGGGCGCGCTATGCTAGTGCGGCGCGTCATACTGCATTCTCCGCCTAGAACTTTCTCACAACTGGTTCAGCTTAAGATAACCACACAGCTTCTGCTTATTGTGCTGACAGAGCGATAATGGATTTCTCCGCGGATGAAAACGATGCTCTCCAGCAGTACATGCCCAGTCAGTTTGGGAAAAAAGATGGCTCTGTAGACGTTGACGCCCAGATCGAACGCGCACGCCGGAAGGTTGTCGACGAGAGCAAACTAGCGAAGAAAGATGACGGATCAGACGATGACAAAGACTCCGATGACGACAGCGATATGAGCGACGAGGAAGATGAGTTCCCTGTGTCGCACGAACTGATTATCAAAACGCATGATCGCGCAGTTACGACAATTGCCCTCGATCCCTCTGGCACGCGGTTGGTGACTGGCAGTAATGACTGCATGCTCAAGCTTCACGACCTGAGTGCGCTCACTCCTAGTACGATTCGCGCGTTCAAAACCGTCGACCCATTCACCACCAAGCCATCGCAGACAGCCGAGTCGCATTCGATACACCAGGTCCTATTTGGTCCACAGTTTGGAGGACAGTTCCTCTGCATAACCGCGACATCACAACCGAGGCTTTTCAGCCGGGATGGAGATCTCATATCGGAGTTCGTCAAGGGTGACATGTATCTGAGAGACAAGCACAATACAAAGGGACACACGGCAGAGGTTACCAGCGGCGTATGGCACCCGACGAATCGCGATCGTTTTGCTACAGCAGGTACGGACAGCACAGTGCGGATATGGGATGTCAACAAGAGGATGAAGCAGGAGGAGGTCATTGTGTACAAATCCAGAGCTGCTGGCAGCGCGGGTATGACCAGAATGACGGCCATTGCATGGGGCGCGGCAGCCGAAGGAGGAAGCAGTATGCTGGTTTCGGCAGCCCTTGATGGGAGTCTAGTTATGTGGGGTGGTGAAGGACCATACCATCGTCCTACGGCTGAAATCAAGGATGCGCATACGAGAGACACTTGGACGAGCGGAATTGATATTAGTGCAGACGGGAGGTTGGTGGTCACAAGAGGCGGCGACGACACAATCAAGTTATGGGACACAAGGAAGTTCAAGACACCTCTGAACACGACATCACACCTTTCTACCTCGTCACAATTCCCCACATCGAACATTCAGTTCGCACCGAACATGCAAAGCATAATTACAGGATCTGGAACTGGCCATCTACATATCCTCAACCCAGCGACGCTTCGCCCAGAGCTCGTTACGCCTGTAACACCAGGCTCTCCTCTAGTCACGGTGAACTGGCATCCGAAGCTCAACCAAATCCTCACCGGTTCAGCCAATGGCCAAACAACCATCCTCTTCAATCCCAAGCTATCCAACGCTGGCGCTCTCACCATCCTGAGCAAAAAGCCGAAGAAGCGACATGTTGATGACGACCCGTCCCTCACAGTAGACATGGACCCGCTCGGTATGGCAGGCGAGGCCCACGATCCATCCGGTAACGCGGCATCCTTTTCAGCGCGCCATCCTACTATTGGCCTTACAGCGTCAGGCAAGAGCAGAGATCCCAGAAGGCCGCATATTCCCGCTACGACACCGTTTGCCAAGTCTACGCCTGATCAGAAGTATGTTATGGAGCAGATTGTGGGAAGTGATATGAGGGACGAGGACCCCAGAGAAGCGCTGCTCAAGTATGCGCCAAAAGAAGGTGAAAAGGCCATCTTCACGGGTGCATGGGAGAAGACACAGCCAGTAGGCATCTACAAAGATTACGATAGCGAAGAAGAGAGAGATAGCAAAAGGGTCAAGCGGTAATGGAAGCAATGCGATACCCAGTTGCATGGCTGGGGTCAGCCCAATAAAACAGATACGCGTACGATGTTTCAATCCATTGGGCGACTAGTCTTGATATGTCAACCTTGTATGCTCGCAGGGTAGCGTTGAATTATTGCAACTGGTTATGGCCCAAGCCCAAAACAGCAAAGTCTGGTTTTGTCGCACAACCGCGTCCACGTCGCGCCCCTCTCGTCAGCAAACAACCCCACTCTCTTGCATCCGAACAACCACTGACATAAACTTCGCCGCCAACTACCTGACAACCCAGACAATCTCTCCAATTCGACAATTCCCACTACCGGCGAAGATGTTCACCTCCACCATCCGCACTGCCGTGCGCGCACAGCCCGCCACTGCCGCCTTCACACGCAGCTTCTCTTCCACTCGCCCCTCGCAAGTTGCCCGTATGACTGTTGTCGGCCGCCTGGGAGTTGCGCCTGAGGAGGTCACCATTTCTGGAGACCGAACATTGGTGCGCTATGTGGTTGGCACCAACTACGGCAAGGGCGAAGAAAAAAAGACCAGTTGGTTCCGGATTGCTAGCTTTGTCCAGGGCGCACAGAAAGATTTCTTGATGAATGTGCCCAAGGGCTCGCTGCTCTATGTCGACGCTGATGCGCGCATGGAGACATATCTCGATAGCGAGGGAAACAAGAAGAGCAACTTGAGCTTGGTCGCCCGTACGTTTTTTGCCACGAGAATTAATGCTAGGATGGGAGTCGTTGCTAACAATTCTGCTAGGCAACTTTGACGTGCTGTCGCGCGCCCGTAGCGACGAGCCTGATACCAACGATGAGGGTCTCATCCATGAGGCTTCCGGCTAGACATGCACGGCTCCAATTCTCATGTAGAATCAACATCACTTTGCGCAACATGTCTTAAAATTCGGAGGCTGACTGAAAGAGGGCGGCGTGGCAAGGTCAATGCACACGCAGTTGCAAACAGTAATGGCGACAGCCTTTGCAAGCCGCTGTACGAATTGTTTGCCGAATCTTGATACAGGATAGCAGACTGTATGAATATTGTCTGAACGTTTCTACTGTATGATCTCTCCGCTCAAAGCGGCTGGCGACAATGCTTTCCGAATGATACCTTTTTCCTTGCAATACATTGATTCGCCCTGCCCATGATTTTGAAAACAGGCGGCAGCCATGAACTTGTTTTACATGCTCGTTTACCAGTGTCAACGCCACTTCAGTAATTATTCTCAAGCTACTACTATGTACCTACCCGCCTGAGCACAGACACAAAATGCGGCGAACGAAGACCTCCGAGAGGCCGCCTCAACTTTTTTGTGGCGCAACAACGAGTCTCCAACAACACACTTCTCCAATATGCAACGAATTATACCCCTACCAGCGCGTCAGCTATGGGGGCATGCGCCTCGCGTGCGGTCGGTGAGACGCCTCAATCGAAGTTATCGAACATTTGCGACGGTCTCATCCGCTGAAAGGTATGTCGCTGCACCCTCATTACCCCACTAATTACCCACCTCTGACCATATCCTAGGCCATACGATGTAATAGTCATTGGCGGCGGCCATGCAGGCTGCGAAGCCTCGGCAGCAGCAGCACGCGCCGGTGCCCGAACAGCCCTCGTAACGCCATCGGTCGAGAACCTCGGTGTGTGTTCATGCAATCCTTCCTTTGGCGGAATCGGCAAGGGCACTATGCTCCGCGAGATTGATGCTCTGGACGGTGTAGTGGGTCGGATAGTAGACAAAGCCGGTGTACAGTTTAGGGTATTGAACAGGAAGAAGGGACCTGCAGTATGGGGGCCACGAGCGCAGATCGACAGGGCACTGTATAAGAAATACATGAAGGACGAAATGTTGTCGTACAAGGGTCTAAGTGTAGTGGAGGGGAGTGTAGCAGATATCATTGTGGATCGGACGCAGGAGGAGGGCTCCAAGGGAACATATGGCAAGATTACGGGTGTTAGACTGGAGAGTGGCGAAATCATACCAACAGGAAACGTGGTAATCACCACTGGTACGTTTCTGGGCGGAGAGATACACATTGGGCTCGAAGCATATCCGTCTGGGCGCATGGGTGAGGCTGCAACATTTGGACTAAGCAAGAGTTTGAGAGAAGCCGGTTTTACACTGGGAAGGCTAAAGACGGGGACACCACCACGGTTAGACGGAAAGACGATCAACTACAAGGTTCTGGAGGCCCAAGAAGGAGATAATCCGCCAACGCCATTCAGTTATCTGAACGATCGCGTACAGGTGGAGAATCAACTACTGAATCACGAGACACGAACAAACGAAGCAACACACGATGTAATACGAAAAAATCTCGACAAGTCGATACACATCCGAGAAACTGTCAAAGGCCCGCGATACTGTCCATCGTTGGAATCAAAAGTCATACGCTTTGCTGACAAGTCGTCACATATCGTCTGGCTGGAACCCGAAGGCTTCGACAATGACATTATCTATCCAAACGGAATTTCCTGTACTGTTCCCGCAGACGTCCAGAACACTATGCTCAAGACCATCAAGGGCCTAGAGAACGTAACTATGCTACAACCTGGCTACGGCGTCGAATACGACTATGTCGACCCACGACATCTACGCTCCACGCTAGAGACAAAGAACATCTCCGGCCTCTTCCTAGCCGGCCAGATCAACGGAACAACAGGCTATGAAGAAGCCGCCGGTCAAGGCGTAATCGCTGGCATCAACGCAGGCCTCAAAAGCCTAGGCAAAGACCCCCTCATCCTAACCCGAGCAGACGGCTACATTGGCATCATGATAGACGACCTCATCACAAAAGGCGTATCAGAGCCCTACCGCATGTTCACCTCCCGCTCTGAATACCGCATGTCTGCCCGCGCCGACAACGCCGACTCCCGCCTCACGCCCCTCGGCCACGCCGCCGGCATAATCAGCGAAACCCGCTGGCGCGCCTTCTCCGATTCGGCCTCGCAAATCGCCACTCTAACCTCGCTCCTCCAATCCAAAACAATGGGCTGGTCCGATTGGACCAAACACGGCTTCGCCGTCCGAAACGACAGCTCCAAACGCTCCGCCTACGACCTCCTGCGCCTCCCCAACACAACCCCCGACTCTCTCTCCCCTTTACTCCCTCAAATCCACACTTTCCCCTCACATATCCGCCACCGCGTCCACATCGAAGCCACATACGCCCCTTATGTCGCTTACCAGTCCGCCTCCCAAGCCCGCTGGCTCAAAGACGAGAAACTAACCCTACCCCTCGATCTCGACTACGAAGCTATTTTCGGTCTTAGTTTCGAGGAGAAGCGTGCGCTGGAGGCGGCGAGACCGGAGAGTGTAGGCATGGCCAGACGCGTCGAGGGGGTTACGCCAACGGGGGCGTTGAGGTTGCTGCAGTTTGTTAAGGGGGTTGGGAGGGGGGAGAGGGAGAGGAGGGAGAGGGAGGAGATTGAGGCGAGGAAGGAGAAGCATAAGGGGTTTTTTTGACAAGGCGTAGCGAGTGTGTGTGGGGGTTGGTTGGTTGGTTGGTTGGTTGGAAGGGGGGTTTATTGTATTTGTAGTTGTATCACTGGAAGATATCCGACTACTGTTTTGATAACTACAAGCGAGGTGGAACCGTTCCTAGGTTCTAGAAGAAAAAGTGTTACTTGTTACGCTTTGCTGATGTTTATTTTGGCCTTGTAGAAGTGAACGAGTAAAGACGAGTAAGATGTTGGGAGGCACTGGCTTGTGTTGGTCATTCCAAGTACTTGGCATGACTACAACGATAATGGCAAAAACGTCCAGCAATATAGCAAATCACACTGCATAGCAAGAATAGATTCTAACGAGTGAATATTTCCCATGCATTTTTCTTCTACAACTACCCCACCCCCACTACTACCACCACCCAAACCCCCCCCCCCCGCCGTCTTTGTCCGATAACTCTATTTCAACCCCCCCAACACGCACACCCAAGGAACAGAGAAGTGAAGCGAAGATAAGAAGAAAAAAAATAAAGCTATCAAAGCCTCTTCTTCCTCCTTGACGTGTACAGGAGGGTGTTCAGAGCCCACATGGTAAAGAAGAAGAGCACAAAAAAAGTTTCATCCCTCCCTTACTCATATGTTCCACTACTCCAAAACCAAACATTCCTCCCCATTCCAGGACATGAGTGTATTTTGTTCAGCCCTGTAAGACCCCCGACGAATACGATACCAAGCCACGACTACTCATTGTCTGTAAAGGAAGAAGATTAGAAAAAAAAGAAGAAGAGAAAAAAAAGATAAGTTTTGCTGCCCAGATTGACAAGCATCGCAGCGCTATGAGCTGAAGAAGGAGAAGAAGAAGAAGTTGAAAAACATGTTGTTGTTACAAGTTTGGTGTGCGCAGATGAGAAGTTGAAGCCCAAAGCAAGTGATATGCGGGATTGCTAAGGAGCAGGATTAACGGGGACATGCTTTGGTGGTGGTGCTTGGTTTACGGCTTGTGTTTTGTGTGCATTTGGTAACGGCCAGTAGACAAAGAGTCTGCGAGATTGCGGGAAATGATTACCTCCCAAGACGTTCGGGTGCGGCCGTGTGTGCTGGGAAGAGAAGTAGAAGAGAAGAAGAAGAAGAAGAAGAAGAAGAAGAAAAAACAATAGATTTGCATTGTTGAAAAAAAAAACGCCGTTTGATTTGGAGAATGGGAAATGTTGTCAATACGCCGAGCAGTCATCACAAGGCAAATTTGCGATGAATCATACTCCATGCTACGCCTGCACTCCTGTCATGTGTATTGGACTGCCAGGTATCCAGCCGGTTCTTTCTAATAGTAGATCGTCAATGGGAAGTATGGTTTGGAGAGAGAGAATCGATTGCTGCGAGATTGTTATATCTCGACATTCTTCAGCCCTTCTGGTTCTGCTACGGCAGTAGGACTCTTTAATGATGAAGATGTCCTCTTTGTGTCCTTGTTCTCTTTGTCGCTGCCTAGGCTGTTGCGAGGTTGCGAGAGCTCGTCGCTCGGTCTCGGAGTATCGACGGAAATGAGGTTCTCGGTGGGGACGCTAGCCTTGGTGTCGAGATTTGTATTCACACGGACCGGTTGGGGGTGTTCCTCGGCCACACGGGCCAAGGGGCTAGAGAGTTTACCGCGTGGACTGACACCTTTTGGCGGCTTCGAAAGACGGTGAGGGCTGCGACCACGATCTTCAGGGCCAATCACAGGGCTGTGGTAGGGGCTGCTCGCTGTGCTACTAGGAACGACCATGCCCGGGGCGTTTGGATTAACGCGCAGACCACTTGTTGGGCGTTTCTTGTTAGGTGGTCGGCGACCGTACTTTTGATCGCATCGCCAGCGGAGAACCTCGAGATAGGGAGGCTCGACATTCTGGCGCTTGAAGATTAGGAGCTTCAACTCGGAGGTCTCCTCATCTAGGTGCACGTCCTTGGAAGCAAAATCATCTGCTACCATGGCTAAAAGTGCGCCCCATGAGCGTGCAACGACGTATTTACGGTCGTAGTCACGGCCAAAGATGATGATTTGTCCCCATGTGCCATTGGGACCAGGGGCGAGGTCGACAGCGAGGTAGTTGCCTCCCCAGTCACGGGCAAGAGGAATCCAGGCAGGGTGGGCGTAGGCCTTTTGTATGGCGTTTGGCGGTTGCGAGTCTTGGCGAGCGAGCAGGTCTTGTCGCCACAGAGGATTCGTGGTGCTCTGCACTTGGGCGACGGGCGGCGTAGTGGACGAGCCGGCAAAGGCCTTGACGGGGATTTGGGGTGACGAGTAGTCGACCTTTGTGGTCAGGTACTCGTCGGCGACCTTGCGCCAGTTCCTCCACTCCATGACAATTTCCTCACAATCGAGCAGCATGAGGCCGAAGAAGACGCCGGTGGGGAGACCGCCGCGCTCCTGGCCATCGTGGATTTGAAGAGACTCGCGCACGTCCATGGGGAGGGTAGCGTCGAGCTCGTGCTCTAGCTCGTTGACGTCGTTGGATGTGCATCCTTCGCACATGTTGTCAAACAGCTCTGTGAAGTTGTCCTCGGCCCAGCGGTCAATGCGCCTCCATGAGTGGGAGACAGGCGGTGGGGGAGGTAGGCCCTCGTTGAAGTCCTGCATTTGGATCTGACCATTGGCGCCTTTGTCGAAGCTGTCCGAGTCCAATGTGGCCTGGCGGCTGAGAGAGCTACGCATGCCGGGAGAGTAGGGGGAGCTGGGGGACATGGGGCCCTTGGGGGAGCCAATGAAGCCATTGCTGGTAGCAAGCTCGTCGTGCTGGTAGGGCGAGTCAAGATCGGTGCGGGACTCTGCGCCGCTGGCGGTGATGGAGGTGAGGGCGGCGTGACGGCTCTGGGGGATGGGGATGTGGCGGCCGGTCCGATAGGGTGAGTCGTGTGAGGCATGTCGGTCATACGAAGTCATTGTGTGCCAGAAGTCCTTCAAGGACGACGTGATTCTAGGACGGTGTTAGCCATGCGGGCGCAGGGGGGCAGGAGGGGCAGGGAAGGGGGCCGTACTGTTGTGCCATGGTGGGTGGGTGGATATGTGTGTGTGGGTGGAAGCGGGTGGAAGGGAGGGAGGGAGAAGGAGAGAGAAGGGCAGCGGGAGCGGGAGCGGGAGCGGGAGAGTATAAGTGCGGTGGTGGTGGAGCAGGCTCAGCAGCAGCAAAGGAGCGGACGGGTGCGCTCTGCGCTGGTGGGCTGGCGGGCGTGTTTCCCTTGAGTGAACGAGTGTGGTGTGAGAAGGCGTGCCAAAGGGTAAGGGTTGGCAGGAGCTTGAATTGGGAGTCGAGAAAACGGAATCGAAGGTGACGTTAAGGGGTGCCGGTGCGCCAAGACCAGGCTCGACCAGGATGGCCCTGGGCTGTCTGGCGGGCGTTGAGTGCGCAATTCTGGCCGCCGCTTCAAACCCACTAGCCGCAGCAATGTCGGGGCGGAGGAGCAGAAAGGGGGGGGGGAGCGTGGGGGAGGGAGGGAGGATGGATGGATGGGATCAAAGGATGCAGTGGTGTTGTTATGGGTTGTTGATAAATGTTGTTGTTATTGTTGATGTTGTTGCGGCAGTGGTAGTGGTGGCGGGAGCAGTTGGTTGTCTGCCAATCTTGTCGTCATGTAGCGTGCATGCTATACAGTAGTGGCGTGGTGTACCCGCTGCATACAGGCCACACATACATATAGTTTAGATGGATACACATGTATACAGTAAGTACCAACCAGCCAGTACATTACATTACAGTACATGGCCACACATGTACCAAGCCAAGGCCAGCCTGCTTCTGCTTCTGCTTCTGCTTCTGCCTCTACCAAACCGCCGACCGACGTTGGAAAATTGCCCCGACATGTCTGTTATTTCCATTAATAGAGCGAGCGCTGCCGCAACCCTATTACCGCAGCCACACACTACACACATACCACACACGCACACACACACACACATACACGTATGCGTATACCCCCTCCCCTTCTGCCCAAGAGGCTGCGCTACTTGCGTACTCCTTTTCACACCACCCGCCCTTTGTCCCTTGTTAGCAGCCCTTCACCATGGCTAATCCCTCCCGCTCTCCGCATCGTTCGTCCGACCGTACGTGTAGTCCTTGTTTCAGCAATGTCGGTGCCCTGTCGCGCGCGCGCCAACAAGAGCCTTTGCCGAAGCCACTCGCTTCTAGCTCCTTGTCCCACTTACGCCCCCCGTCGCAAGCTGCATATTGGCCCGCTGCCCTAGGCGGTGTACAACATGACCTGCTGCTGCTTGCACTTGCTTGCCAACTAGCTACCTCTACCTACTCGAGCACTAAGCAATCCTCCCATCGGGGCATTTTCACCGCGCCTTCGCCACAGACCACTTGCGCTTGCAACAAGGAAAAAAATAATATCATCATGCCAAACTATCCGCCACGCCGGCACCAATGGGCTGCCTCTCACAGCCACAGCCACGCCCACATCGACCCCGTCTTACGTGCGCCTGTTTGGCACGCATGCCTGTTCAGCATAACAAGCTAATCAACCTGGAATCCTCATCGCAATGCAGCCCACGCCTTATCCCGCTTCATGCAGCCCGTGCACTGGCGGTGCGCTAGATCTTCAATGCCCATTGAAATTTCCATTAGGGGCCCAGCTAAATTGTCTTTCTCCTCCATGGTCATCCATGGCCCATGATGTTGTCCTAAATCGCCTGTGCTCATCATCCGGCCACTTGGACACATGTGCACACACGCACACACACACACACCTCTCTGCCGCGAGCTGCCAGGTCGAGCGACCATGTCGAGTGCGCAGTCGCAGTCGCAGTGGATAATGTCAGATAGATAACAGACGCACACCCCCGCAATGTCACAATCACCAATCGTCTCCACATGCTTACGCCCCACTGCCCACGCAAAGCTTCTTGTCGCACTTCTTTCAATCACACGCCTCTTCCTCCGACGACATATCCAACCAACCGGGTCTTTCTATGTCCCTACACCTACCTAGGTACACTACACTTTACCCATGTGGCAGGTCCAAGACATGGCCCATGCGGTGCCCGCCAAACCCTCCAAACCCTCCAACCACGCCTGTCGCCCTATCCGATAAGCCACCCTCTTACTCTGCAACACCAAACTTGCCGCGCTGCCCTCGCCTGAGGTGCACTTGTTGCCATGGCACCTTGCTTGCCTTGCCTTGCCGCCACCCGTAACCAAACTACTTGTTTAGCCTAACAACTACACAAACCCCTCAATCATGACGTTTCAACATCATCTGCCGCACTAAGAGTAGCGAGTCTCGTTTTACCCCAGAGTCGGATCCCAACCGCGCGCGGGGTGGATCAAATACGAGGTGATGTGCCTTGAGTAAGCGTCTGCCGTTCCGACCCGGCACTGTAGCTATACCACACTGCTCTATTCACCTGGTCGTCTTGCCCAGGAACTGGTGGAGCTCCTCCTGCAGTGGTAGAACAATGTTTTCCACTGCTGCCTGGAGACACTCGGCATCCTCGAGACTGGCGCAAGGATCACTGGACCCTGTTATGCAATGCCGAATCGCATTCTGGAAAGCTGCAGACAGGTTCCCAGACTCGTTGAAGGTCCAGTTACGCGCCAGTGCCCAGAGCTTCCACGGCCCTGGCTGCTTGGACAAATCACCCACCTCGTCTTCTGTCTCCGACTCTTGATACTTTTCAGCAGTCACCCCAAAGTACAGCTCCAGGAGAGCCACGGCCAGAGCAATCAGCACCGTGTTCCTGAAGCCGCCTGGCTGCGTGTTTCTCGCCGTGCCATTGGCTGCCTCAACAGCCGCGGGCGCTAGATATGGGCGCTCAATGTTTATCGGTTGTGCAGTATTCGACGTTCGGTGGAACATAATATCCCGAGCTGCCCACTCGTTGGCCAACCACGGCGTCGAGTTCAAATACAAGACATTGGACGCTAGTGTCAACGCTAAGCTATACCTGTCCCTCATGCTCAGCTTCGACCGTCTGCCGTTGATGACTGGTGGCTGTCGGAGCAGATCCTCTAGAGACACGAGTTCCACGGTAGGCATGTATGTTTCCCTTGTATCCAATGGGTAAGCGCCCCGTAACTTGCTTTTGCTATCCAACGAAAAGCCAATTCTCGAAGCGTTTTTGTGTAGTTGTTGAATAGATGCACACAAGTCCTTCACCTCTTGGTGCGGACCAGACGACTTTTTGGTAGGATCCCTCACTGCGTATGGCGGAGGGGTTCCGAAGCTGACGCTCTTCGTCATCCTACCACTGTTAGCTCACAATCTCATGGCTAGCGCCCACGCATGCATCGTTGCCATTGGAGACGTCTCCGTCGTCTTCATACATACCTTGGTTTGGGATATGCTATGGGAACGAAGCATTCCTCCTCTTCCTCTTCCACGCGTATCTCTGCAGTCTGGACTAGCCATGGCACACCGCTTCCATCAGAGGCCGTGGTTGAAAAAGCAACACTAAAGCTTGTTTTTGGCGTATCGATTTGCTTCTGCGCCTTCGGAGCAAAGACATCTTCCCGGAGCTCCAACTGGAGGCTTGTCCGGTGCGATGACTTGCATGAGCACGACCAGCATACACTCAGCGACTCGTGTAATGTCTTGGCATACTGTTGTAGTCTTTGCAGCCGCGACGCATACGAAGGCTTCGTCGCTCGGTGGTATGTCTCGATCTTCTCACTCTTTTCCGTGAACCTCTCGAGGCTTTTGTTGCATTCGTCCAGTTCTTCCAGGAGCGCCTTGATTGTCTTCTTGTTCATACCAAAACGAACGCGCTTTCTAATCTCAAACTTGTCGTTGGCCTTCTTGGGGTTTGCGGCCAACAGTGCCTCGAGATCATTGCGTGTAATCTACAATTCACATAAGCATCGTTCGAGCATCCTACTATTTTCCACACCTACCTCTGCTGCGCGGTCCAGATCTAGCTTGCTTGCTATCTTCTTGGTTATTTTTTCAATCTCGAATACGGTCCTTTGATACGACTTGTATGTAGTCTGCAGCTTGTCTTGGAGTGCCTCCTCTTTACTTTTCCAAAGCTCTTGCGACGCCCCAGGGTCAGTCATCATTAAAGCAAATTCAACGTCCGACGTGATGGATCCGAAGAGAAGCTGGATCGTCTGATCATAGTGGTCATATTGAGCCCTTAATTTTCTTATAAAAATGGGGAGCTCCTTGTCCCTTCCAAAGAAGCCTTTAATTGGATCTAGCCCTTCATTGTAGCTTTCAATTGCTAGTTTGCTGTGAGCTCCTTGTTACTCCTCACTCACAACTCGATTTTGCATACCTTGTATGATCAACGGCAGACAGCCAAGAACGAGACCAGCCACCTCTACGCCGCTCATGGCAGCGCTTTTCTACGGTATCTGACAAGAGAAGGCGTCGCGGGTCATTGGCGCGCGGGGAGAAGGAACGAGTGGGGGGCCTGGCGCTTACTTACTGTCGAAGCACGTGCTCGTGAAACACGCCGGTCACCTTGAACGACCAAAAATATGTGACTATGAATGTGGAGGATTATCTGGATGTTATACAGAACTCTGGATGATTTGTGAGCAGAGAGGTGACAGAGGCGAACATACGGCTGCCTGCGAAACACAGCCTCAGCTGCGCCCCCGCCAAACTACAAAATCTCTAGTAGCATCACGAACCCCCCCATGTCGATTGAGGCACCAGCATCCGACGGTACGAATAAACTATTAAGTCGACCTTCATCGAAGACGCATATAGTTGAGAGTTATCGACACCCTCAAAGATCAGATTGCCTTCAGGATCCCAGTCCCAGTTCTCTCTTTTCCCAACATGCCAATTGTTTGTCATGTCCTCCCTAAGACTAGCAACAGCCTCCAATGTTCGCGCTTTCCAGAATCTGACCACTGCTCTCAAAACCAGCGACCGGAAATGGACGCATGCAATCGACGAAGAAGCGCTTGAAGACGAGATCGGGAGGTTTCGTGTCTGGGCTGGAAACCTCGGCGCTCTGCAGAAAGGGCACAGCTCGCTTGACTACAGGTTGCGAGACTCACCAGTATCCAACACCAACACGCTCAAGCTTCTTAGGGAGCTTGAAGCCAATGTCAATGAAGCTTATGCCGTGGCATCTGGGGCTCGTCTGCCTTACGAAGAGCAGGCCCGCCCAGACATGACTGAAGATGACGATGACGACAGTTTCTTCAGTGCGGACGAAGACGATGATGATAGTAGCAGCGATGAACCTAGAACCGAATTGAAAATGCGCTTTGGAGAAATCGTCGACATTATCGACAACCTCTACAAGCTTAGCGTCCGCATCAGAACCCCTGGTCTACGCTCAAGATCTCTCAAAGCATCCTCTTACACACAAAAGGATCCAGAGACGGGAATCGACATCTTTGACATGTATTCTGAGCAAGATCTTAAGCATGTCCAGGAGTTGGTGTCGCATCTGCGTCAACCGTATGTAGCCAACGATACGCAAGAAGATCAAGACTTCTTGATCAAGCGGTTGAGCGCATCTGTTACACTTCGGAGGCGACACTTCAAGTACTGGAAACGACGTGAGTCCTTGAGAATGTATCAGTCAAACTACAGCTGACTAACTGTCCAGATCGTGACAAATTGAGTGCCTCTGCAATGTCTGACGATGTGCAAGAACTCCATGTTATAGCGTCGCTCGAGAGACCTGCAGCAGCATCTGATGAAAGCCCAGAAGCACATCCGGTGCCCATTGTTACACCCCTGAGAGAAGCGCCAAGTCAGAAGACTGGCAAGACAATGCTCTCAGGGACAGAGGTAACGCAGCTTCACCAGTCCTTGGACGATATAGTAGACACAAAATCTGTAACAAGCTACGCAGTAACGGTGAAGGACGTACACGGAAAAGGCATCGACCTTCCTCCACCACCAAAATCGGCAGACGGCGACAAAGAATTCGAATGTCCCTATTGTTGGATTGTTTGCCCTGCAAGATACGGAAAAGGGAGGGCCTGGAAAACGCATCTCCTTCAAGACTTACAGCCGTATAGCTGTACATACCAGGACTGTGAAAGCTCGCATCAACTGTTTCGCAGTCGTAGAGAGTGGGCCGAGCATGAAGCAAGCCACCGCAAAGTGTGGAGATGCCCGGAGCATCCAAATGCAGTTTTCCATTCTCAGCTGGGCTTGGAAGATCACCTCCGGCAAGCGCATCTCGATAGCTTTCCAGAGAGCCAGCTAGTGACCATTGTCAAGGTTGGCGAAGCTACTACAGTAGACTTGCGAGAAAGATGCCCCATATGCCGCGCACCCACGGATGCCAAAGAGATAGGCGACTTGCAGAGCCACATCGCAAATCATCTGGAGCGAATCGCAACCTTTGCTCTGCCTCATAGTATGGAAGATGACTCAGATGGTGCCAGTGGGATCCCAAGCCCCGGTGGTACCTCTAGATCTTCTTTGAGTTCTATATCTACCAACATGAGTAACGGCCGGAAAAAGAGCAAAGAAAACGCTCTTCGTAAGTTCATCCACGTAAAAGAGCGTGAAATCTATGTACGACGCCAGCTGATATGTTCAACAGCTACCCTGCAGTTTGAACCGCCTGAGTCTGTTCAGGAGATTGATCCCAGCCGTGATCTTTTATCTGCCGAGAACTTGCAACAACTTCCTGATGCGAACAAAAATATACTGGACGTGATATCGAATCAACTGAATAACCCAAAAAGCTCATATCATCTAGACATCATTCATGGGTCAAAAGTACAGCCGCTCCTTCAAACGAAGGACATGCCCACACTACGGTCATTATACCGTTCACGAAAACTGTTACAGTTGGACCAGAGCTACGCACCGAACGATTCTTATAATCGCATGATTTCTTTCTGTAACTATGATCTGACAAGGATGGAGGTAGATGCCATTGTCAACAACGTCACTGTCGACCTGAAATACTCACCACCCCGGGGCTCGTTACACTACACTGTAATGGAAGCAGGTGGTCCAGATCTTGTACAAGAGGCAAGATCAAAACCCCAAATCAAGTTCGGCCAAGTCGAAATAACTCACGGACACAACCTCCCTTCGTTATGGGTTATTCATGCTGCAGTACCGACATCTTTCGGAGGGGACGGTATGGCTCAGTTAAACAATCTTGCCGATTGCTATCGCAATTCCCTGGAGGCAGCAGCTGGCCTTCAAATCCGAACGGTGGCCTTTCCTTGCCTGGGCACCAGAGGCTGTGGCTTTGGCCCACGCCAAGCTGCACGTATAGCACTTCAAGCAGTTCGCGAAGACTTGGATGCGCGCTCTGAAAGCCGGTTTGAACGCATCATCTTTTGTGTGAAATCCGCTGTGGACGAGCAAGCTTACAAGGATTTCTTCCCCGTGTATTTCCCACCAACACATGGGGACCTAGACGTGGCAAGAAATTCAAATGTAGCAACAAGTTCGGACCAGTCTACAAATAACACGGTAATGATTACTCAGGTGATCAGCACACAGGCGCAACTACAAAAGATGACTGCAGCGCTCCACCGTGATTTCAGCCAGATCCTACCAGAGATCGAAATCGGATACCTTGATCTTCTCAATGAGACTGATCTCACACTAACTTCAATTCACAATGAGTTATTGGGACCCAAAACGCTGGAGAAACATTCAACAGACATCGATCTGCTCTGCTATGTTCTCTTGACTTTGTGTATCAGCATCTCAGGAATGACTGAAACAGCTAAAGAAGTACAAGATACCGTGTCAAATTATCAGCAGATTCTGGAAATTACTGACCGGTATATGAATGAGAAGTACGGATCCAACCTCAAGGAGTTTTTACTAGATTGTTGCTCTTTCACTACCATTCTGAATAGTGTCATGGCACGGGAACAGGATGATTTGGATCTAGCCCAAATGCGCCCAAAAATAGAAAAATATAGGGACAGAGCGCGCACACAAGATATTGGAGATGATCCCGATCAGCCGGATAGCCAGGCGTCCGTCGAGGACCCTGCGCCAACTGCCTCTAGTAGCCGGGACTTGGTTAAACTGCACCAAATTTTGACTGTAACGAAGATGTATCAGCGAGCTGTCATCAAACCAAAGAGTACTATGGCACAATCATCTGCCACCTTCAACAACATAGTGTGTTTGGCAAGAGAAGACATGACAAAGCTCGAAGTCGATGTTATAGTCAACTCCACCGACCCATCCTTTGCAGGCATGGGAACTCTGGATCGCCTTATCTTCAAAAAGGGTGGGCCAGGCTTACAAGAAGAAGTTCAAAAATTCGGCGTGTGCCAGGAGGGCGATATCAAAATGACTTCAGGATACCTCTTACCGGCCAAGAACATTTTGCATGTCATCCCACCCGAGGTGTACAGAAAAGACAGCAAAAATGTGCTACGCAACATCTACCGCGGAATCATGTATACCGCTACAGATTTGAAAGCCAAGTCTGTTGCAATACCCTGTATTGGGACGGGTGCGTTGGGATTTCCGCGCCGTGATTGTGCCTCGCTTGCCATGGAAGAGGTCAGGCGTTTTCTTCAGTCTAAAGAGCCGGGTGGACTGGAAAAGATAATATTCGTAGTATACTCGGCCACCGACGAGACCATCTACGAGAACGTTTTGCCGAATTACTTCCCACCAGTCGCGGAGACTGCCTCGAAACAGTCTGGAGCCCAGTTTTGGGGGCTGGCGGGGAAATCCCCATTTGGTTCGACTGTCGCCAAAGATGATTTACAGTCCATGGCTTCAAAGGAAGAATCCCGACATGCGCCTCTCGATGAAGCCACCATAATAGCGGAAGCCAAGGTGTCTTTCACAGATTTCACAACAAGTAAACCACGACTCATCCACAACTCTTGCGTGGTGCTTGTATCTAAGAGTTCGGTCCACATTGACCGCAAGACCAACCGCAACAACAAACGCAAGCCTAGTCGCAAGACCGAGCATCTCGACGTGGATTCTCAAAACAGCTCATTCGAATACTCATTCGACCTGATACCCGCTACTGACGTCCACCACGACCAAACCGAGGTGATTGTAAACGACATCCGCAAACGCGGTACACCCCCAGACAGACCCTTTACGCTATTCTTCAAACTCCGAAATCATGCTGATGCAACAACCCTCGCAACCGCCCTGGAAGCAGCCCGCCACGCCCGCGAGCAAGATGCACACGGTGATTTTGTCCCCTCAGTCGAAACTGTACCCGCCGCGACTCTTTCCGACGAAGACGACAAAGATAACGAAGATTATATTTACGATCAAGAATATGGACACTACAGCGACTACACAGGCAACGAAGACGCCATAGACAATGATGACTACTTTTCCACTCGTATCCTCGAGTATCTCACTGAAGACTTGCATGCACGACCTACGTCGTACATCGGACAGCACATTAGCCATATCGCGGCTACACTGCGCCTGGATGTCGATGTGGTGCGCAAGTATTTAGATCGACTTGCTGCGAGGGGATTGGTGCATACGACGGTGGATGAGAATACGTGGGTTGTGTCCGGGTATGAGGATAAGCTTGTGCCTGTGTTGAGGGGTGAGGGGTGAGAGGTGAGGGTGCGGCGAGTCGAGGAGGATGATAAGGTCGGGGGAAGGTAGGATTAGGGGGATGTTGTTTTTCTTTTTTCTCTCTTTTTTTTTTCCAGGAAGGGATTTCATTTTGGTAAGATTTTTTGTTTTGGACCGTGAATGAGGAGGAAGAAAAGATATATGTATGTAGTATTCGAGCGTGACATCGCAACATATATCCACATCAGCAATACTCCATCTCCACAACCCACACACACACACACACATATTATTCTCTGTCAATCTAACACACCCCTTCCTTTCCACCTCAGAAACAGCAAACCCCCAACTCCCCCTCGACAATCGCCTCCATAAACCCGCCCACATCCTCGCCGCGCTCATCCAGCACAAACTCCAGCGTCTGCACCCACGTCTCGCCATTATTCGTAAACCACTCATACTCACACCACAGACTCCTCACGTAGCCCTCGACCATGCCCTTCAACGGCGCATTCTCCTTGAGATAGAGTATCTGCGCGGGGTCAAGTTTCAGGTAATCTTGGACAACGTAGTAGTGGGGGATATCGTCGCCCCAGCCCTCTGCGCCGACTTCGTGCGAGGGGCTCAGGGAGTATTTTGTTGCTGCGAAGCGGGACGTGTAGGTAGTTGTGTTGTTGAAATGAGTGGATAAGGGATTTGGAGTGGTGGTAGTGGTAGTGGTGGTGGTGAAGAAGGGATTAAACGCCTGAGGCGCGGAGGGTGGGTAGTTGAGATGGATATTGAAGAGCAGGCCGCCTTCATTTCCCGGGTGACGTTTTTTAAATTTGCGAGCGATGGTGCCGTTGGAGGGGCAGATGTTGGATTGGACGACTTCGCGCATGATGTTGTGGATGTCGGATATCTCGGCGAGGTCGCATGTGGTCCAGTTGTGAAGGAGGGCAGCGCGCTTGAGGAGGACGAGGCGGGTGGCGCGGAGTTCGCGGGGGTGGGCAGGGTTGTGGAAGGCGCGCGAGTAAAGCCATATGCGGTAGATTGCTCTTCTCAGCTTGAAACGTTCTTGGGGGGTTAGGAGGCGGCGGTTCTCGAAGTTGTGTTTCCATTTTTTGAAAGGGTAGATGTCGCACCATTTCTCTGCGACGCGGCCGTAGGCGACAATTTGGGTAAGGAGGGCGAGGGAGAAGGGTGCGGAGCGGAAGATGTGGGCGGGTTGGCTGGCGTTGTGTGTGAGGAGCTGGGTGAGGTCGTGGAGGGGGCCGAATTGCGCTTCTGCGGCGGATTCAAGGATGGTGAGTTTTTGCGAGGACGAATAGATGTTGCGGAAACGTTTGCAGGTGGAAGATAGGGCTGTTACGTCGGTGACTGAGGTGCAGGATAGAAATACCTGCACCACGAGCTCTGTGGCGAGGTCTTCGAATAACATTTTGGCGGTTGGATGCACAGCGTCCGGTAATGTTTTGTTTTTTTCTCGTGACTTGAAAAGTTAGCGTTTAAAACTCCATGGCATAGATTATGTATTTTCAGTAGCATGTATATTACTCACTCGTTGATAGTCACGTTGATATGTATGTCTATCCCCTCTTTGGTACTGACCCTTTTCTCTTTCTAAAAGATCGATCTAGATATCCAGTCTCTTTTTCTCGTTACTATATTCCAGCCGCAAGCGTGCTGTGTAATGTATCAATCAATCGGCGCGTAGCTACGTTGCTTCTACACCGACGCGTGACTCGTAGTTCAGATAGATAGGACCCCTCCTTTGGGGCTATAGATAGAAAACGCGTTGACATTTTGTAAAGACATGGTACAAACGATGGCAGACTCCGACGAGTCGTTTCTAAAGGCCATTGACATTGTTGGTGGTTGAAAGGACAATCAGGAGTCATCGTCACGACGTAGCCATAAAGTTGATAGATGGCGCCAAGTGGAGCCAATCTGGATTGTGGGGACCAATCGGCGTCGAGGGGCGGAGGATAAGCCGATGGCGTCAACCGCGAGGTATGTCGCTCTCCGAATCGCAAACCGCGTCGTCCTCCACGTCTGCAAGTCTTGGGTCTGGAAGTGCTAGGAAAAAAAAACAATGTGCCACGGGAATTCTACGTCTCCGTATCCGCCAGCTCTGTTCCGCCTCCCAATCGAGCTCCGACGCGCGATATACAGTCTCGTCCTCCCCCACACGACCACCTTCGATGTGCGTTTGCAGCGCTCCATTGACCCACCCCCAAAGTCCGAGTACAATCTGACGTTCATCCGGCAGAATGGCGGTGGGTGCTGGCGCATGCAACGGACAATGCCCCGGACGGACCGTGAAACAGGCAACGACATTGTCTGGCGGCGGGGATGCACCGCTCTGCTAGCTGTGTCGCGACAGGTGCACGAAGAGGCGGCAGACATGCTCTATGGAGACAACACGTTCGTGATCGATGTGACTTTCAGTGCAATCAACTTTCGGTACCGCTGGCGGACTGCGAATAACCTGACGCCGAACCAAACATATCAATTTCTGGACCATTTCTCCCAGCGGAACCTCCTGCGCATCAGGAACTACGTTGTGAATGTCGAGTCTGTCGATGATTATACGGGAATGATCAAGTACAACTATGGTGGGCGCGGATTGTCAGCCGGTATACACAGCAAAGTACGGGAGCTTGTGGATCTGCTGGTTGCTGTTCCGCAACTGCACCGGCTGCAGGTGCACTTGATCGATGGTGCCATCAGTCGCGTCAAGTTCCCAAGTGGCAGGGTACATCGAGTCCAAGACGAGAGCAATATTCAACAGGCACAACTCGTGCTGAATCCGTTCAGGGCGCTGTATGGAGTCCGCATGGTCGAGATTAGTGGTGTTTACAGTGAGTACAAGGAAGAACTAGAAAAAAGCATGACAAAGGAAAGACTGCAGCCAGTATAGTTGAGTGTAATGCACCCTGGAATCAATATACGAACGTACAAAGATGTGTATAGCGGTCGCTCAAGACGAGCTACCCACGAGTTGATAGCTATCGGGTATATCGCTATACATGCAGGCATATGCCAAGCCCAACAAATCGACGCCAGCCCCATGTAAGATGCATCCCATAAACGCCACCTTTTTCGTTGCCCTCCAAAAAATATTGCAAATGGCTTATGCAAACAGAACATTGTCGCTGAGCGGATCCTTCTCCTTTTTGCGACCACCGTGCGACGTCAGTCCTAGCTCCTGGTGTTTGAGCAGAGCATCTCTCTGTGCTTCTGTCCGCTTGTTGAACCTGCCGGCCTTGGACTTCCTCAAGTCGGAACGGATCTGGTTGGGCGACACGAACTCCTTGTTCTCGTAGATGATGGGGCCTCCAAAACTCGACTCCTGGATGACAATGGGTGTGAGCACGAAACGTGGACCAATTTCCACAAGGCTAACGTCGAGTTCTCCCTTTCCTCCCTTCTTCTTGGGCGCAGGCTCGTCGACTTCCATCTCTTCGCCGTCTGCAGCCTTCTTCTTGCCTGGCTCGCTCTCGTTGATCTGGAAAACGCGGACCCAGATCTTGCCGTCTGTGACGGTGAAACCCATGACGTGGTCAACAAAAGGCTTTACTTTCCTGCTGGTCTTGGGGACACCGAAAATCTGGGTAAAGAGTTCCTTGATGACACGCAGATGGGCCTGCTTGTCGAATGCGGCGTCAAAAGAAAGAATTGGCCGGGATCCCTTGAGGCAGTTGCCAATGAAGTTGAGCTCTTCCATGGTGTGCAAGTTTTGGAGATGCATCTTGACGGTAGGGCCATTGGGAGGCTTGGACATCCAGCAGTAAAGATCCTTGCCTTTGCGCGCCTCGAAGAAGAGGACATTGTTGCAATTGTAGAGTTCTGACTGGGTTAGTTTAGGTCACGACGGGACGGAGAATATTAGAAATGCAGTTTGCGAGATCTCTCACCGCGAAAAGACTGGTGTTTGGGGAGGAATTCATACCTGCTAGTTCATTGAGCTGGTAGAGCTTCGTTTTAGTATCAAGCTTGGCCTCTTTTCGGCTATGGGGCCTTTGCAGGATCAGCATGAAGTTTCTGAAGCAGGAATAGACTCTAACTTACATCAAAGAGTACAGATCCTGGAGCAAATGGCGGTGCCGGAAAGTGACACCTCTCGAACTCTGTTTTTGTGTTAGCAAGAGATTTTTTTCTTTTTTTTTTGCGTAGACAAATGCTATACCAGAATGAGGACGCGCTGCTTGTTTCTCTTGACTCCGACGTCCTTCTCCTCCTTGTCCGCACCGGACAGCGTCTTGTATACCGAGGCCATTGTTGTGCGCGGGTGGTGATGGTGCTGTTTGCGCTGCTCACGGGGTGAGGGCGGCTCTAGAAAAAAGTTGGAGGATGAATAGCGCCCAGCGTTTTAGCGTGATCTACGCTATGGCCACGCTACGACCCACCGACATGGGTCGCGCCTTCCGTCACCATCGCTGGCAGGGCTTGCCCAATGAGGGAGTGCAGGCCCCAACGCTCCTGCCCCGTTTAGAGTGCGTCTGGGCTCATGGCGCTTTGTCGCGCGCCGTAGACCAGCTGTAGCGGGACGGAGAGGCATATCAGGAAGAAAGATGGGCCGACGCAGAGGCGGAGAGGGAGAGGGAGAGCAGAGTGTGCAAGAGCAGGGTATGCAGGCGGCGGTGGTAGGGCATGTAGTGTATGTAGTGTAAAGGGTAAGTAGTAGTAGTAGTAGTAGTAGTAGTAGTCAGGCGTTGGTCGGTGGTTGATTTGCCGAAGTTGGCAACGCCTCAACGCAGCGGGCGGAGGCAAAGACGAGGAGCACGTCGGTCGCTGCAGAGGGCAACGGGCATGACGCCGGATCGCTGAACAAGCGGGCAGCGCCAGCAAGATGGGAATGCAGACACGCACAGTGCGCCGGACAGCCGCGCTGGACGGGCTGCAGGCTGGACGGCGCCGCTCGTGTGCGTGCAAATTATTGGTCGATGCACCATCTGGGGGGCGTGTGTATGCTTCGACGAGAGACGCGGGCTCAGGTGGGCAGCGAAGAGGAGAGGCAGCGCTGCCCACCCCCCAGCAGACAGCGGCCAGGCTGGAGGTCGCCACGAGCCTCGCTGGATTCACAAAGGCGGCTCTCACTGTGTGCAGCGCCCCGTCGGACAAGCGGCGTCATGTGCAGCGAGTCGTGGCCGCTGCCATCCAACCTCATCGCGGGTCTGCATCACGCCCGGAGCTGCCCCAGGGACAGAGCTGCCGCAGCCGCACTAGACAGAAGCTGACTTGCCAACCCTTCGTGCGTGTGTGTGTGATCTGGACAGCGCTGCTCCACACCAGCCCCCCAATCGTCCCTCTCCCATCGCACCCGTCCGCTGCCCTTCGCATCTCCATCCATCGCCAGTCGCCGGCCGACCATCGCCAACTGCAGAGCCTGAGGCGCATTCGCCCTGCTGTCGCCGCCTTGCATCCGCTGCGCCCCACCGCCAGAGCCCGCTGCTGCTGGTCCATGGAGCAGCCATCGTGGTCCCATTGAGAGAGCCTGCACGCGCCCAGTCCCATGTTTCGCGATCCCGTCTTGCGGCCGTCGGTTGATGAGGGCGAGGAGCGGTCGCGAGCAGACAGAATGCCGCCAGGGCACCAAGGGGAACCTACGCCATCAGCTTACCACAGATCGCCCACACAAGCAGGCCAACCATACCACCACCACTCGCCAAACACGCCTGCGCCCTTGCCTCTGCAACCCCATCAACACCACCGCCAGCCTGCATCGCCATCCTCGACCGAGCTGCCGCCCATCAGCACGGCCCTCTATTCTCGCGACACGTCTAGATATTACGACCCGACCTCGGACAATGGCGACAACCGCGTAGCCAGAGACCCGGCGCGTTACGAACCCCAGTATCCTGCACAGGTGCGTACTCTCCATCACTCTGCATCGCGTCAATTCACCCTTGCTTTCTCTCTCTCTGCCTCTCTCACTCTCTCTCTCTCTCTCTCACTCCCTCTCTTTTACTACCTGCCTGCTTTTGCTTCATCTCCCCCCTTCAGGGATACACGCCTAACAGTGACCGCGCAGCAGCCCCGGGACCCTCACGCCTACCACGACCCTCGACCCGCCCACAGCCCCTACGAGAAGGTCTATCACTCGCCCGTCGCCGCTTCATACCCCCAGCACTCGCCCTTGCGGCGGCCCCATTCGCAGCACCAGCACACCGGCGGCATGGAGACCATGTCACACTCTCCCGTCTCGCCATCAGTTTATCAATCCATGAACCGGCCGGGCGGTGCCGTCCAGCCGCCGACCTACGATAGACGGCCGTCCTTCAAGGATGAGGTAAGTCAACCCACCTCTCCTCTCCGCTCGACAACACTTGCTCATCGCCATCTCCCCCATCAACAGGCTCCACCACCAACACGCGCCGACCCCATGTCGCTCTCAAGCATAATGTCTTCTGGCGCCGATAACGAGCCCCCGTCCAA